TGTAACAAAGTCTATTCACCCCCCCTCTAGACTTTGTATTTCACCACTTTGGGACCACCAATTGGTATCGGAGCAGTCTTCTCACTATCTACATTTAGATGAATGAGAAGCGATCAAAATGGTGAACAATATGGATCACAGTTTGCCCAAGTTTTCTCTTCTAGGTTATGATGATTGGAAGATCATGATGCAAGCACACCTTTATGCTCTACATGATTGCATGTGGATGGTGCTTGAGGATGGACCCTTGAAAATCCAAATGGAGAATCCTGAGAGGAATCCAACAACTCCAGACGTAGTCCAGTACATTTCAAAGCCCAAGGAAAAATGGGATGATAGAGATTGCAAAAAGCACAATCTGGATAACGTCGCCAAAGCAGCCATCTTCAAGACACTTGACCCTATCACCTTCTCCAAAATTAAGCACCTCAAGACTGCCATGGAGATATGGCAAGGTCTTGGGAAGCTATGTGAGGGTTCAGAGGACTTGAGAAAGCAGAAGATAGAAGTCCTGCTTGAGAAGTTCAAAGGCTTCAAAATGCTTCCCAGAGAATCATTTGATATGCTGGATGAAAGATTCCAAAAAATCTTGAATGATCTTGCATCACTTAACCACGTTCTTTCTCCCAAAGAAAAGAATGTAAGGTTGCTGAGATCTTTTCTAACTGAGTGGTACACCAAAGCCACAGCCATGGAAGAAGGAAGAAATCTGGAGAACTACACTGTGCAAGGTCTTCTTGATGAGCTCAGAACCTATGAGCACGAGCTGAAGAAGAAGAAGGAAGAACAAGTTACTCCCTTCCCCACGGCACTGATGACAACTCTAAGAGTCCCATCAAGTGAAGGGACATGCCCAAGGAACTGTGACACACCCTCCTCCAGCCAGCCGTCAAGTTCAAAAATGGAGAACTACGATGAGGAATTTGCCATGATGGTCAAGCAATTCCGGAAGTTCAAAAAGTTCTTCAAGAAAGCTGACTCAGTCAGAAGGCTATCCAAGGGAAAGCCACAGGTAAGTGACTCTCCTCCTGAATCTTATTTGTGTTACAATTGCAGGAAGCCCGGCCACTGGAAGTCAGCGTGCCCGTACCCAAAAGTGGAGAAGTACAGAGAAAGAGAAAGGAACGAGAAGAAAAAGAAGGCAATGGTTGCTGCTGAAAGTGACGAGTCATCCAGCTCAAGCTCGGATAAAGAAGCTCTCGTCTGCATGGAGCGTAGAGCTGAAAAGTCCAACCATGAGGATAGGTGGACCATGTCAGAAGATGACACTCTCTGCCTAATGGCCAAAGATGATGCTGATCAAGAGGTAACCTCACAAACCTCCTGCTCATCTTCTTATGAAAGCATACCAACTTCTGAAAATCTTTTTGACCAGTTCAAAAAGATGATGAAAGACTTTGAGGAGATAAATCTCA